CCTGATCCCACCCACCCTACTCACCCCATCCCTCCTGTCCTACCAGCTCCATCCCACTCAGCCTTCCCTCCCATTTTCCAGATCCCGTCCCTCCCACCCTCCAGACCTGATCCCACCCATCCTGTTCACCCTCCAGGTCCCACCCCAAGCACAGGCCCAGCAGTGGATGAGTATTTTCTTTATCTCTCAATTGAGCAGAAGATCAAAGAGAAGAAGGATCAAACAACTCTGCTTCGATTCAAACCCAAATTAATTGTGCTTGTTTTCTATTTCTTCTCTCTTAAAATGAACACAGAGCTGCGGGATCCACTCTAATTTATGCCTTTCCCAAAGTGGAAATGGGGCTGTCTCCTTTCCCCTGTGTCCAACTGTGGGAACACCCACTCAAAGGAGTAGGAACTGTGGTTTCAGAGTGTCCCTGTTGGGACTGTCACACCCATCGGTGACAGAGCCAGCTTGTGGGGCCCTGGCTCACCTTGTGGGGCCCTGGCTCACCTTGTGGGGTTCTGCTTCACCTTGTAGTGAAAAACAATTCACTGCCTCACCTTGTGGCGTTCTGCCTCACCTTGTAGGGCCCTGCTTCACCTTGTGGGGTTCCTACCTCACCTTGTGGGGTTCCTGCCTCACCTTGTAGGGTTTCTGCCCGAAGCTGAAGGCCTCCCACATGGTCACACCGTAGCTCCAGACGTCGCTTTTGCTGGAGAACTTGTGGAAGAGGATGCACTCTGGGGCGTACCACTTCAAGGGCCACTTCCCTGCTGTCCTGGCCTGCAGCAGAGCAAGGAGGGACATTTCAACCCTGAGACACAGAGTGCTGGAGCTGCACCTGAATTCTGCTCAGTGTTTGCATCAAATCTCACATTGCTGAAAAAATCACCTAAAATGGGAGCTCCAGAGTCCAGCCCAGGCCCTGCTGTCCTGTTGTGCAGGTGCTGAATGCCCACGGTGCCACCCTCCTCCTGCCACTGGCCCCAGGGCTCAGTTAAACCATGGAATTATGGAAAGGATTGGGTTGGATGGACCCTAAAGCCCATCCAGTGCCACCCCTGCCATGGCAGTGACACTTTCCACCATCCCAGGCTGCTCCAAGCCCCGTCCAGCCTGGCCTTGGGCACTGCCAGGGATCCAGGGGCAGCCCCAGCTGCTCTGGGCACCCTGTGCCAGGGCCTGCCCACCCTCCCAGCCAACAATTCCTTCCCAATATCCCATCCAGCCCTGCCCTCTGGCACTGGGAGCCATTCCCTGTGTCCTGTCCCTGCAGGCCTTGTCCCCAGTCCCTCTCCAGCTCTCCTGGAGCCCCTTTAGGCCCTGCAAGGGGCTCTGAGCTCTCCCTGGAGCCTTCTCTTCTCCAGGTGAGCACCCCCAGCTCTCCCAGCCTGGCTCCAGAGCAGAGGGGCTCTGTCCCTGTGACCAGTTTGGTGGCCTTGTCTGAACTCGTTCCAGCAGGTCCTCATCTGTCTTGTGCTGAGGTCCCTAGAGCTGGACACACAATTCCAGGTGGGGTCTCTCCTTTCCCAGCCCTGGCTCACTCTTCATAACCTTCTCTTCTCTCTGGCTCCTCTCATCCTCCTGCCCCACGTCCCCCTGGCTGCCTCTGCATCCCCCTTGTCACCAGAGCTCTGCCCCTTTTAATGTCACAGCAGTGAGGCAGAGCCTGATGTTGTGCAGAGGGGTCCATGAGCGACCCAGATCCTCAAGTCTCTGGGGTTCTCATCCTCCCAGCGAGGAGAGCTCCTGCTCCAGACCCTTTGCTGTGCTCACACCCACCTTGTAGTAGCTGTCATCGGCTCCCAGAGCCTTGGAGAGCCCAAAGTCACTGATCTTGGCGTAGTGCTGGTTGACCAGCAGGACATTCCTGGCTGCCAGGTCCCTGTGGACAAAGTTCTTTTCCTCCAGGTACTTCATCCCCATGGACACCTGGTGCATCAGCTCCACGATGTTGCTCATTGTGATCTCGTCCCTGGTGAAAGGAGAATTCAGCAATAAAGGACCTGCTGTGGTCCCCCCTGACATTTCCAGCTGGAAGGGAGAATGAGCACGGAGATCTCTGCTCCATGAGCATCAGCCCCTGGAGCCTCAATGTCAGAAATGAAAGATTTCTGCTCTTTTCAGCTTTCCTGAACCTTCAAAACCTGCAGGGTTTTGAAGCAGATTTTGAGAAGAAACACAGAAAATCAGCCATGTTCTATCCAACACTCACTTCTTGGAAGCCAAGAACCTGTTGAGGGGCCCTCCAGATGCCATCTCCATCACGAGCATCAGCGACTCGGCCTCGCACACCCCGATCATGCGCACGATGTAGGGGTTGTCCAGCTGGTGCATGATCTGCGCTTCCTTCATCATCTCATCCTTCACCGTCTTCTCGTTGTTGCTCTTCAGCACCTTGATGGCCACGTCGATCTGCTTCCTGCACAGGGGAACAGTCAGGGGTGGGCTGAGCACAGCTGGAACCAGGGGTCACAGCCAGGAATGGAAATCCCTGCTCACGTGACGCTGTCTGACCCCTCAGCAGCCTGTTCTGCCACAGCCCTGCACCATTCCGGTGTCCCAGGATGGAGAGAAAAGGTCACCTCACCCTTGGAGGTGTAGGCCAGAAGTTGCCATCCCTGATCTGGAGACACCTCCCCTCCCACAATGAGATCTGGGTCATCAGTGCCATTTTTCCAGGGGAAACTGAGGCACAAATAGGTAAAGACCATCACAGACAACCAGCAACAGAGCCAAGGGTGGCACAACCCCTCAGTGTCACTGCTTTGGCCTGGCATGGACAGAGGTGGCCTCAGGAATGTGGAGTTGTTCCTCTGAGCCCAGCAAGTCCCTTTGGAAGCGGCAGCTGCGCGCCTGGGAATGCGACACAGCTTCCACACCCAAGGCAATGCAGCTGTCAGTGAAAATCCACGGAAAACCATGGAATTACAGCACCCTATCATAATATCATGGGATTGTTTAGGTTGGAAAAGACCTGCAAGATCATCAGATCCAACCCCTGACCGAGCACCACCACCCCTGCTAAACCCCACCACAAAATCTGCTCATTTTCTGAACACTTCCAGGGGTGCTGCCTCAGCCACCACATCCATCATCCCTGACCTTGCAGATCATTTCTTGTCCACTCCACTGCCACTGTGGGGTCCATCTAGTGACCACCAGGACAGCTGGGGACCCCTGGAGCCTGGCCTGGGTCCCTCTCCTCCCCCTTCCCCAGGACCCTCACTCACTTCCTCATTTTGTAAACTCCCTTCTTGACGCAGCCAAAGTTTCCTGCCCCCAGCTCCACCTCATCAATCATCAGGTGGTCTCTCTTCAGGAACAGCTTCTTGTCCTTCAGCTCCTCGGGGTCGCTGTAGGGGCTCTCGTAGACGCTGGTGTCCATGGGCAGCGGGCGGGATTTTCCTGCCCCTTCCCAAGAGGAACACTTGTTACAAACCTGCCCTTCCCCATCCCGCTGCCCCTCATGGATTGGGAAGGGTTTCTCTGCTCTTTTGGCCAATTCACCTTCACCTCCAGCATTTCTCGTCCCTGCTGGGCACCTCCTTTCCTTTCACAACCCAGGGCCCCTCCCAGTTCTGGCTGCTGAAGGAGGTGGGATGGGGAGAGGGGTCTGAGCATTCCCACTCCACATATCTGCCCTGCCAGCCCTGGGCAGGGCTTTACCCCACTGAAATTCAGCTGAATACACTGAAAAATAGGACAGGGCTTCATTTCCTGGGTAAGGCAAGGAATGGGGTAGGGCTTGATTTCCTGGGAGCCCAGTGTGGGTGCAGGACCCTGAAATGTCCGGGGTGCTCCTGGGTGCTTCTGTATGAAAGGAGCTTCATAGCAGGGCTCCAGGGAACTGCCAGGCTCCTGGGACATCCCCAGTCCTGTCCCCTGTGAGGAGGAGAGGGCTGTGGAGGTGCTCACCTACAGGGTCTGGGGTGTATCCGTCAGCATTGAGAGGGCCCAGGTTTCTCTGGAAGAGAAGTGAGGAGAAAGTGGATAAAGGAGAAATTGCTTCAGTTGCAAATGCAAAGGAAAGGGATAGGGAAAATGCACCCCCAACACAGCCCCAGCTGGAGCTGCCTCTGAAAGGCCCTGAGGTGGGCTGAGACTGGAGCCAGCACTGCTGTTCCAGTCCTGGCTGCAGTTCCCCCAGGGCAGGGCACAGCCCAGGGACCCTGAGCACAGCACCCTTCTCCCAGGGGCTGTGCAGGGTGAGGTTCTCTGTCCCCTCTGCTGTCCCCATCCCAGCACTCCCAGTCTGCAGGAAGGGCAGGGCAGCCTGGGGACAGCTCAGGTCACAGCCAGCACAGGAAGAGAGGCCTTGTGAGCACACAGGGACTCTGTGCAGACACTGTCCCCAGAGCAGAGAGTGACAGGGTGGCTCAGCTTGGAATGACAGAGTCACAGGATCCCAGAATATCCTGAGCTGGATCCCTCAGGGATGATCAGTGCAGACCCTGGCCCTGCCCAGACCCCCCAACAAGCCCACCCTGAGCATCCCTGAGAGCGCTGTCCAAACGCTCCTGGAGCTCTGGCAGCCTTGGGGCCGGGCCCATTCCCTGGGGAGCCTGGGCAGTGCCAGCACCCTGGAGGCCACTGTGGGTTGTGAGAACACCCTGAGGTGATGGGTGACCCCCCAGGCCTCACTCAGCCCCCCTGGGACCCCCAAACCCGCTGGTTTCAGCAGAGCTTAGCACGCAGTGACTGAGCAGGGACATTCCCTGGGGCAGAGGGAGCACAAAGCCCTGGCTGGGGGCCAGTGGGAGCAGCAGGGATGAGCATTCCCACAATCCCAGCACGGCCTCCTCGCTCCTGCCTGGCCAGCAGGGCAGGGATGGAGAGGTCCCCAAGGACAGGCCCACATGTTGCAAGGAGCTCGGGATGAATGGAAACCCTTCTCAGCTCTACCAGGGGCTGTGCCCAGCTATTCCCCACCCCCATCCAAGCTGGAAAGGGAACAACATCCCAGCTGGGCTCAATAAAGCCCAGTGCAGTTCCTGAGCTCTTAGACAAAAGCAGGGTTTGAAGAGCAGGGTTTGATCAGCCAAGCTTGAAATGCAGCAATATTGAAATCCCTGAGGTGCCAATAAAACAGAGCCTCCCCCAAACTTACGCTCACGGAGG